CGCTGATGTTGGCGGTGTAGATACAGCAGAGGCAGCACCATCATAATCCTGAGAGTGCTGGCGGCACCATCAAACACAGCTTACTCCCGGAAGTGCGGCTTTCTCACAATCAACGTCGTTTGCACTCGCTCCAGGAACTCCGCCGCTACTACCACGTACATCATCTGCCGCGTTGAGACCAACATCGCCAGCCCCACATATATTAACGTTGTTTTGGTCGACATCAATTTCGTCATCGGGTCGCCTGGACAGGGCACCATCCGTATCACCATCCTCCACTACCAATGTCCGCCGATAGTGCTCCAAAAGCGCTCGTTCACCCAGATAATAGTCGATACCCTCTGCTCCATTCGAGTCACCACCGGGACGGATATAGCGGTACAGATCACTCAAGCTTCGCCCTGTTGGACGCTTTGAACTCCAACCAGCCGCACTTAGAACTCGCCAAACAGATCCAAACATCGCATGGTCATCCGCGAGGTCTGTATGCCGGTGGATACGCGTTAATATGATACCTTGCTCGAGCGCTAGGTAAGCAACGGATCGTACCTAGACCGGTGGGAGCTGAAGGTGAGATACGACCCGAGCGTCGTGATTGTTGTCGCTTAGCTGTGGGCTCGCAGGTGCTCGACCGCTGCTTCCGCTTTCGTGGCATTGGGTATGTGGTGGTGGACGAGCTCAGCTAGCGTACCAGTGGCTCCTTCACGGCAAAGATCTCTAACTGGTTTGCATGCATCGGTCTCGCTTGAGCCATTGGACCGAATATATTGTTATTTGTATGGCCATGTTCGAAGTGTTCAAAGGGACCGAACGTACTAGGCTTTGTATGGGGTGGTTCGACTCATCGTTGTATGTGATGTTAGTATGGTGGAGTTTGAACCCACCGGTGCAGGTTCAATGCCCGCCATGCGGAATGCAGCGTAGCTGTGCTGACAAGGTACCGTGCAAAATGCATCGGATATCGAGTGCGGGATGAATACAGTGTAATTACACAGAGTCATGAATAGTACGAGTACTCAAAGCGTTCAACGGTAACATACGGTACTTAGATTTACTCCAGTATTGCTACCAAATGTAAGTGCTGTAGCGGCTTCGGCATCGTCTCCACAGTTACGTTGACCCATGCAAGCCCCATAGTGACGGTCCGAACTACGGTACACGGCGACAGTGGTGACGCCCATCGTAGATACACTGCTGCCAAGTGCCAATGCCGCCTGCGTGTCCCTGTCGCTGGGCAAATTGGGCGCTTGCGACGTCGTCGTCATGGCGACTTCAGGCTCCATCTTGACCCCCGATGGGACTCGAACGCTCCATTTCTAGCGGTAGCCTCTCTTGATCTTTGTCGCCGGTGGCACCCCGCTCCCTCCTGAGGCATCTACGTGCGGTTGTCCGTCGATGAGGATCGCTGGAAGCGAAAAAGGGCGGGAGAACGCCGTCCACCTGCAGGTCTAGTGGGCAGTCGTCCAGTGCCGCCTCCGACGCTCCATCTCGGGGTCCTGTAGCGGAATCTCGGCGTCTCGCAGCTGAACGTGGTTGACAGCCACACCCGGCGGCAATGCCGTGAGGAGAGTTGGGGACTACGGGACAAACGACACCATCCCAGCGCCAGTTCTAGTAGCACTGCGTTATCGACAACAAATGCGCTGTTGCGGCGGTTGTGCGGGACGTGGTCGTCGGGTGGGTACACGACGGACAGCGAGTCCAACTTCATGCCCGGTGCGTCCCGAGGTCAGCGCGTCAAGTAGCACAGGCGGTCAGCAGCAGCAGATGCGTCGACACACAGGAGCTGAGCGTGTGGCGACTCCAACGACGCTGGACTTGGAGAGTGAGGGGCGAACTGGCAGGCTGGACTTGACCGCAGCGTGCATAGTATCACGGGCAGCCACGCGCCGTAAACGATGGGTACGGCCAGCACATGTGTACCACCGTCGTTCGAGGCGTGGAAACCGGAAGAACGGAGCGTGGTCAGCCAGGGACACTTGGGATCGAGCTTGCAAAATCGGAAATGAGCTCCGATGCGAGAAGGTCATTTTGATTCGGAGCAAGCCGAGCAAGCCGACCAAACAACAGTGGATCGATTTGAACTAATTCCACCAATCACACTTCTTGTTGAACTTTGGCAGCCAATCACTGTCATCGATTTTTCGGAGACAGGTTTTGATTGGTCAAAGCGAAGACATGGAAAAAAATGTCAGCGCGGGAAAGCTTGAAAAGATCAACCAAAGCAAAATGGGCACCAAAAAGGCGAGCCTTTACATGTTGTGTAAACCACTTCAAATACCAATAGTCTATTTATGTGACATTATGTATCGCGACCGCTCTACCCGTTCTCCCTCGCCGAAACGCCCTACCATCGGCATTCCCCCAATCATGGTCTTGATGGACCTGGTCGGAAACGTCTCCGCCGTCGGCGACACGGATGCGATGGTGGCGGGCGACTCGGGCAGCAAGCACAACGGCGGCCGCAGCGCCGCCGTGTGTGCCGTCAACAGCATGGTCTCGGAGGCTTCCGCGGCGACCGTGGCCGCGCTAGCATGGTCACGAACGCGACGGTGGCATTCGGCTCGGGCAGCGAGCGCAACGACAGCGGCAGTCCGCACGCAGGTTGCCGCCGGTAGTAGCGTCAGCGGCGTCGCCAGCGACATCGACAGCAGGGTCTCGGACACGATGGAGGTGACTCTGACCTTGGGGGATGCGGTCAGAGCTACGATGTCCGTGCAAGACGTTGATGTAGATGTGTACAATGGCTGATATATGTTATTGGCTCTACAGGTAATGAACAGTGGGATGAACATGTCTGACAAACGAAGTATATTGAATGTCCCTTTCCATTCTGCGCGAGGTACTTAGATGTAGGGCTCTACAACCCTGGTGTACCAGTATGCGTGATGAAGCTGGGAAGACCAAGACACTTGAACGTCGATACGCTGTCGGGGTGTCCAGACAGAACAGAAGTTGCGCGGGCAGGTTGGGCGGTGCCCGCCGCAAATTGTTGCCATGACAACGACGTGGACCAAACCTGCTGCTGAAGATGCAAAGTCCTCCAGCGCCGCAAAACTTGTAGGCTCGAAAACGATATTGTTCGCAAATAAAACACTGCCCCCGTCAATATCCTCGCGTACGGCTGGGCTCATCGCTCTGAGGTCGGCCTCGTGAATCGTGACCTTGGATAAATTCGGGAAATCCACGCGTGCGCCACGAATCAGCAGTTTTGACATGTTTGCCAAGTTGTCCTGGAACTCAATCCCGATGCATCTCCCAACACAAGTCTCCAATGCCACTTGTGCAACCACGTTGCCGATCCCAGATCCAAATTCAACAAAAGTTTCGGCGATTGTAAGCGTTGGAATGACTGCCAGTATTGCTGAAACCCCAGTTGGCGAAATCTCACCAGCATGACAATCCGGCGCATGGACGGGTTGACGCAAGGCCGAGGCATACAAACTTGACACAGCGTCATGAACGTTGCCAACATTATCGGGAGCGCTCACCTTGTGGCCACCACTAAGCGCGTCCGTGCCGATTTTTGATCCCGAAATCTCCTTGGGAAAGAATCTAAGCTCACGCCGTGTGTCCTCTTCAGCGTCTTTAGACGAATCTGCAGCTGTCGCTGTGTCTTCCCGCAGTATGGCATCCCCAACCAGACAGTCCGTCAGTTAATTCGGCGGCCTGCATCAACCTGCTCCTTTGCCAGCCGATAAAGCAGCAAGT